CCGATTTATCTTCCACCTGCATGAAGGGAAATCATTTGACACGTGAGGGCAGTAGTTTGAGCGTCTCAGGCGCAGCTAATGCAAACAATTTGATGGGCAAGAGTAAATCAATGTTGAGCGGCAGCGGAAGCAACAGTTTGCGCACAAGTCCAGGCGTACATTTGCCAGTGCCTGGTGCGAGTGGAAGTTGCGGAAAGACAGGTGCATCTGTGTTAAACCAATTTGCGGGCTCAAGCGTACAAGATCTCCATATGAGCGTGCCACCATTGTCACCAATGATGGAGCAACAAAGTCCGTCCCATGTGCTGCCATCACACCCGTTAAGTGGCGCGCGTTGCGGTACAAATATACAACCGGCATTTTTCGCCACGACTACCGGCGGCCAACCACCTAACAATGCTGGACCACATCAACAAATACCACATGGCGCATACCCGCCACATCCGCCACCCTTTCTATCAAATCCTGGTGCGCCCACAGCACCTGGTTTACTGCCGCGTTTCTTCGGCGCCGGCGGTTTTCCTGCATTTCCGCTACCCCCGCATGTGGTGCAAACGCCACCTGACATGATGGGTGGTTTGGGACTTGGCGCCTTGCTCGGTGCGCCTCCACCGGTTACTGTAATGGTGCCATATCCCATAGTTATACCGCTACCTATACCCATACCGGTGCCACTGCCAGTGATGGACTTTTACAAGGCTTACTTGACCCCTGAAGAGCGCAGCAAACTAAAGGAAAAAGAAGCAAGTGAAGCCAAGAAAGATGCGCTAAGGTCAAGTACTGCGGATAAGGAGGCAGACGCTGAGGCTAGGTTAGAAAATAGTGATTGCGAACAAAAAATTGATGTTGGTGAAGAAACCGTCAACGAAGAGCCATTAGATTTCACTAAAACAAAGAACTGTATGCAGGCGCAACATATTGAGCACCAAAATGAAGAAATTGCTACGGTCTCTGTGCATTCGATTGAAGAATCTGCATCCAGTCTTAAACGCGCCTTGTCCGACGAGCACTTGACAACGACAACGTCATTATCACCGTCAACACCAGTCACCCCAACGACCAACACAACTACCACTACTGCCGTAACACCTTCGCCGGACCGTTCTCCCTGCTCTCCAGCCACATCTTGCAAGGCCACACATTGCATTGTACGTTCAGACGAAACGGGAGCAATCAGACGGGAACTAAGCGCAGATATAGATGAAGCTAGTGGTGCTATCGGTGATTGTGACGATGCTAAACAAAAATTACCGAAATTTAAGATAACGCGACTCCAAACGAAGCGCACACTCATACAAACCAAAGAAACCGCCAGCACGCCTACCACTTCGGCGGCGGAATGTAGCCGACCATTACGAAAGCGGAAACGCATAATCGATTGCGATTTTCAAAAGTTAGCTCTCAAAGAGTTGACGTCAGCGGACGGCGATGGCGAAGAAAACGCCGACTTGCATAGTGAGGAAGCCGATCTGAAGATGACAGGAACCAGTTTATCTACAATAGCGTGCAATAATAATAATACAAAAGCCCAAAGCAAAAAGTAGGGTTATGTTTTAAATATAGAAATAATTTTAGAATTCAATAAGTTCAAACTTAATATGGCTAAGAAAATAGCTTAAGTAAATATTGTTAGTGTTTAGTATATAATATAAGGGCTTAAACGTATATTCTAATAAAATATCACATTTCAAGGAGGGTATAAAAATCGCTTGAAACTGGTTATGTAGCTTCAAGCCAATATTTCGTTCTACTGTGAATTTAGCTTACCGAACCAAATAATGCTTTTGACATATTTCGGTTTACTTAATTATTTTAAGTTCAATGTACAATTAAAAAAGTCTTAAATGAATAAAAGAGTTCAATCTTTACACACTCTTGTTGAACGCACAGTAACGGTTGTTTTCTTGTCGTTGTTGTATTTGTAATATGAGTGGAAGTGTTTGATATACAGTTCTAAACCGGATATTTATGGCAGTATTTTCCCTTTTCTTATTCTGAATGCTTGCGGAAAACAGTTCACAATAGTATTGAGTACAAATAATTTTTAATAGGAGGGTTTTCTGCTTTGATTCTAAACCTTTAAATTATAAAAAAAAATTTATTAAATACAAAAAAATATATATAAAAACAAAATCGGTTTAGTATTTCGGTACGAAATCCAAACAATAATTTATTAACTTTTCCAACGGTATGGCCACACCAACAAGTCAATTGGAAATGTCATACCACTTTGCGACAAAGCGCAAAAATTGCGAAATTTGCATATGAAAAGTTCCGCTGTATGTTAAACAATTTAAGTTGCGAATATATTTGAATAAAACAAATTATTTCTCAAATATGAGCGAGGAAGTAAATACTGAAGATGTGCTGCGCATATTGGTGGCAACTGACAATCACTTGGGCTATGCAGAGAAAAATGCGGTGCGCGGTAAGTATTTCGATTTTGAAGTCAGCAATTAAAAAAACTGCTTCGCTACTCTTAGGAGACGATAGCTTTGTAACTTTTGAGGAAATACTACAACTGGCTGTGCAGGAAGATGTTGACTTCATTTTGCTCGGCGGCGATTTATTTCATGATGCAGTTCCCAGCCAGAACACATTGCACAAGTAAGTTTTAAGCTGTTTAAGCCATATTTGCAGGTTTATTTAATTTTTTCCAATTGCAAAGCTGCATGAAATTACTACGACGTTACACATTTGGTGACAAACCGATTAGCATTGAAATGCTTAGTGATCAGTCGGTGAATTTCCACAATGCCACCAATGAGACAGTCAACTACGAGGATCCAAATCTTAATATAGCTATACCAGTATTTTCTATTCATGGCAACCATGATGATCCCAGCGGTTTTGGACAACTTAGCTCACTTGATTTGCTTTCGACAACGGGATTAATAAACTATTTTGGACGCTGGACCGATCTCACAAAAGTAACCATTAGTCCATTACTTTTGCGCAAAGGTGAAACACAATTAGCATTGTATGGACTGAGTCACATACACGATGCACGTTTGCGACGACTATTTGAGGATTTTAAAGTTAATATTGCGTGTCCGGGACCCGAGGAAGGAGAGTGGTTCCACTTGATGGTTTTGCATCAGAATCATGCTGATCGCGGCCCAAAAAGTAATATTCCAGAAGAATTGCTACCTGAGTTTTTGCATTTGGTTATTTGGGGTCATGAACACGATTGCCATATAAATCCTAATTTTAATGCGACACGTAATTTTTACGTTAGTCAACCGGGATCATCTGTTGCTACTTCGCTAGCTGAGGGTGAAGCGCTAAAGAAATATGTAGGCTTATTGGAAATACATAAAACGCGTTTCCAAATGAAACCGCTACCATTACAAACCGTACGTCCATTTGTTTTCGATTCGGTCGATTTGTCTCAAATGACGGATGAACTAAAGTTGGATGAAGGAGATGTGCAAAATAAGGTTATGGCTATGGCAACGCAGCGTGTTCAAAATATGATAACAAAAGCAAAGGAGCAATTCACCGGACATCCAAAACAACCGCAATTGCCGCTTATACGCCTGCGAATACTCTTCTCAAATGAGGAGCAAATGTTTAATGCAATACGCTTCGGCCAGTCGTACAATGAGCAGGTAATATTTGAAAGATTAAAAAAAAAAAAATTAAATAAAAAATTGAAATAACTTGGACCAATCACAGGTAGCTAATCCAGCAGATATGGTACATTTCAAAAAAGTGGTAAAGCGTGCTAAGGGCGAGCATTCGGACTATGACAATGAAGCTTTGCGTAGTGCCTTAGATAATATTCAAGTTGTAAGTTGGCTTTGAAATGTAATAGTACGGGTGTATTGAACTGTATACGCTTGATCCCTAGGATGTGGGCAGTGAAATGAAAATCGAGAACTTCATTGAGCGATATTTTCAAGAAATTCCAGCCAAACGTCGTTTAAAAATTCTATCACCACAAATCTTGGCAGAAATGTGCAATCGTATCGTGGAAAAGGGAGACGTAACCGCGGCTGATGGTATTATGAAGTACTTATTTGCACAGCCATTCACTTTAAATCGATTTTGTACATAATTACTCTCTTCCCTAAAGACACTGCAAAGAAAGAGCTTTGGAGCATCTGTTGGAGACCCTACCAGCTGATGACGAAATCGAAGAATCGTTGGATGCCTTCAATTCACAACTATCTCTCGACGATGTACTAAAAAGTTTGGATAAAACTGACTCAAAAGTGAAAGCCAATACAAGTAGCTTTTCCTCAGCCTCTACACTTAGCAAGAGCAGGCAATCAACGCAAGTGAAGGGCAAGTCGACTGCATTAAACACCAATAACAGCGACAGTGATGATGAACCATTCGTAAAGAAAACGCCTAAACAGCAAACAAAAGCATCCAAGAACTTTTTCTTGGACGACAGTGATGATAGCGATTTAGAAGCTGCACCTCAGTCGACTAAAGTTACAAAAGCTGCACGTGGAAGAAAAACCACGAAAGCTGAGACTAGTACAAAAACAACTGCTGGCCGGGGCCGTGGTAGGGGACGTGGGCGAGGCGCTGCGGCGGCACCAACACGGTCCACACGACAAGCTTTGGATGTATCGGTAAACTCCACGGTAAGTCTCCTTCTGTTTGTATAATCAAAAAAAAGTATAAATATTTCTTATACATTATAGCGTTCCTCACTATTGGAGTCTTTGGCGAATGCGCGTGCAAAGCGTGGCACCAAAGATGCCCACGTTATCGATATATCCGACTCGGAGTAATTTGCTTTGTTTCCTCATTATTTATTGGCAGTGCACAGCAAAACAAATTACATTGAAGTACAATAAATTTGAATAAATTGTTACTTGTTTAAGCTTCTATTGCACAGGTTCTTTGTCGTTTTCCTTGACCACTGCAAATTTTATCAAAACTTGTTTTTTTTTCTACTTTTATATTTCAAATAAACAATTTGGACTTTATTTAATATAATTGGTTTTTCTCTCATTTCAAGTAATATTTTTATTTTTTTTTTCATTTTCAATATTTACCCATAACATTGGTGGTTACTTTATGTTGTCAGCTTTTTGTGAATTAAGTTCCAAACTTCTATGTACAGTAAGTACTAATGAATGAAAATGTGTGTGCATAGGTTGTGAACGTGTACACCGTCTGGTGCTCTAATGGCCTTGGAAATATACATATGTAGTTCATAGCATCTTCCTTCATTCAGTTGTATAAATCCCATAAAGCAACCTGCCCATCGGTGCCTGCGGACGCCATAATGCGCGCATTCCACATTGACACTTTCCCTTCTGAATATGCGATATCCATAATGCCGCCCCCACCGGCAGTTTTATGTTCAGTCAACACCGCAAGTGGGCGCAAACTTTTCCAAGAGAAGATGCGCACACGACCATCCCAACCGCCGCTCGCAAATACTTTCTGATCATCTCGTATGCGTATGCAGTTAATGCCGGCATTTTTGATGCCGATATCGTTGGCTCTTTGCAATTGCATTGATTGTCGTTGATACGTAATGGCGGTGAGTTTGTCATCTGCGGTTATAAATTACAAAATGCAAATAATATTTAAAGTGAATAAGCGACGTTTTCTAAAATTAAACTCACTAGGTCCTCCAACAATGCCCCGATTAGTTTGTGGATCGTAATCGATTGCCATTGGTTCGGGATCCAACTGTAACAAATCTATAATGACGCCCGAACTTAAATCCCATGTCAGAAAATGACCGGATTCATAGCCGGCGAGCAGGAATAACTGTGAAGCACTTTCGAAAGGTTTGAAACAAGATACGCTCCCCAATTTTGGCAATTGTGGATCGTCCGGCACAAGCATTTGTGATGGCGCAGCAACATCGTCATTCACATGCAGCACACCAATAGAATTTTCATCACAAGGATAGAAAAGTAGCGGTCCACCGCTGCCCTCAGGCGGTGTATACAATGCAGTACGGCAGAATGCATTGAAATTGGCTTCAATGTTGCGTTCGCGCACATATCCACTATTCGACATTGTCCACAAAGTAACTCTGCCACCTTTTTCCTGCGTAATCAGCGTATCGTCGGTATGGTGAAGACTAGTTATAGGCTGTTGGCCAACTTCAAAATGCAATGCGGAACGATTTGTCTGTAATTGCACATATTTTAGGTTATATCAAAATTCATTAGTATTTGGTTAGTTTTTGGGTACACCTGCAAATCCCACAAGAAAACGCTACCCTTAAGGGTGCCGGCCAACAAGCGATCGCAGTGATGAAAGCAAATGGAATTCACCGGTCCCATCTCCGGGCAGCGCAGCGTAAAAACTGGATCAGGCGGCAAAACGGCCATGGCGTTGCAAACAATTTGCCTTTAAATCAGTATGAAAAGAAATCAAATTATACACTTTTGCAGTTGACACATTTAGCAGTTATATTGTGCTATCACAATTATGTTAAAACGCAATTCAATTTGCTGGAAAAACTAAGCATCAATATCAAAATATTAAAAACACGCCCAGCTGGCAAACGACAGAACAACAACAGCAAATTGTCAACGAAACCGCCTGATATAGAATGAGGATTGACATAATTAAATAAAAACAGAAAGTGAACACAGAGCATAATCGCAACAAAAACAAATGAGAGCAAAGCGGAATATGGCTAAATTATATTAATTCTTAACGAAGCTGGCAACACTCCAGTGCAATTGGTGGATTTTTTGACAATATTACGGAATTTGTGGAGTTTAACGGAAATGGCGGAGCTAAAGTAACGTTATTTGTGACAGCTTTCAAAATGGCGTTTTTGCAAGAAAGTGAATTATAAGTGAATTGTAAGATATTCTGTGCAGTTTCAGTTCGTAAAAATATATTAATTTAATAAGTGAAAATACTTTTTTTGGTGTACATTCTATGTGAATTTAGTGTGGTGAAGTTAAAAAATCATGTACTAATGTTTTTGCCAAGGAAGAGAGAGGAAACTGCAGTGCGGCCGCATTACGGCTTCCTGGGCTTCCTGGTGTTTGCAAAGCGTTGGATACGGTTATCTGAATATTGGTGGTAGCAGAATGCGCGGTGTTTGCAAAGCTTTGGTTGGGGATATTCATATAGTATGAATATTACATGTTAGCGCAGAAATTGTGGTGAGTTCATTTTTCATGCATTCCATTCCATTCTTATTTTAAGTATTGCATATGGTAAACATATACACATACATATGTACATATGATATTTTTTATGTTTTTGCGAAAGATTGCTTAGGCTTTCAATTAAGCCAGCATAATTTGAACATGTGCTCATATACTTTATAAAATTTTAGCAATTTCGTTTGAATGAGAATTAAAGCAAATTTTAGGCACACAGTTTTTGAATTAGAGTTTTGCCTTTCGTTAAGTAAGTTTGGATGAAAGATGATAATTAATAATCAAAAAGGGAAAGTGGATTTATGCATTCTATTGAATTTAAGGACAAAATTTATGGTACTAAATATTTAAATGCTGAATATATTAAGAAAAAATTATTATTTCTCGGATTTTAGTAAGGGCAGTCATGATTTCGTGGTATGCTATAAATACTCTTAAGTTGAAAGTAAAGGTTATGGATACAATGAAATAAAATTATATTTTTGTTTTCAACTCATGGATACCTTTATAAAATCTGCATAAGGAATAAACATGAATAAAAATTTCATATAATTTAAATGTTCAGCGAATGATTCAGAACAATATTATTTGCCTTATGATATCAATGAAGTAATACTTCAATTCTTGAGTAGTGTAAAATAGGAAGATCTGCAGATCAAAGTTCTAAAATAGTAGGTTTTCGCTTTTTTCGACTGCAAATAGTTGATTTTGTAAAAAGAAGTATATTACTGTACTGCGTCCTGAAATTCCCTATAAAATAAATATAACTAAAATGCTGCCAAAGTTTTTTTTTTACCGACTACCATTACGAATCCACTACTGCCGGACGCTACAGCCTCTAACAAAAATGAATTGCGTACGCCTGTACAACCGTTTAGTTACGAAAAAACTTTATTCAGCAATTTTTACCACATTGTATGTATGTATATATTGTGGGCAGTCAAAAAATTCTACTAATTCCTATTATTCACGATTTCGATTGAATTGCAATCGACAAACCTCTTATAAAATGAAAAATAGTTGTTGAAATCTGAAAAGGACCTGAAAATTCATAGAAAAACCTGTGCCGCAGCATAATATCAGAAATATATGCATATCACATTATTTCTGATTGTGTGTGTCTAAGTGGATCGTTTGATTTTGTGGCAGATACCACATAATTTATGACTTCGTTAGGTTAACAAGCAAATATGTTAATCTCTTTTGCACCTTTTTGCCACATTCTGCGCTACCTACTTCACTTCTGAAAGAGCATTTTTTACCTATATGCGATATATTGCCCGAAAGCAGTTGACCCATTTCAAACTGCTTAATAATGTTGAGCGAACGGTTAGGAAATTACACTTAATATTGACTAACAGTCTAAATATGTGATCACATGGCAACAGAATTAATAGAAAACCGGTAAAAATATAAATAAAATGTTGCAAAAACCGAAAGGAAGGAAGGAAGGTGTTCAAGTTGAATAATTTATTCAAAAATGTGCAGAATTTTTTTTTTTTTAACTGCAGCGTGTTTAAACTTTGAGGTTCACCTCCTGAGATATTGCACATCCTTCGAGTACAGCTTTTTTTTTTTTGACATTTAGTATACCCTATTTTTTAGGGTAATGCTTTAAGTCCAGACAGTACTGAGGTATTTAGTCTTCTTCCTTGCTAAAAAAATTCGGTTTTTCTGGCTCAAGTCCATCTACATCAAACACACATAATGTTGTCATCGCCTTCTCAGAATCACTTCTACCAAAAATCTCTTGTTCAAGTTGTGTATGCCGCGTTTTACGCGTTCAGCAGTAAATCGCTTTTAATTTCCACTTAATCGAATTATTTGCTTGATTACTTTATTGTCGCCTTGCAAAAGAACGCAACGACACCTACTCATATGCTTGTATGTATGTATGTGACGTGCTATTGAAGTGGCGGTGCGGTATCCGCTTTTTTGCCACTGCATGTTGCATGCAACGAATGCTTTATGCAGTCGTTTTAGTTTTGTTGTCAACAATCACACTTTAATCGAATTTTGTCGCCTTTGCCCACCATTTCTAGAGCACGCTTGCTTGGCGATCTACCGATATATACCCATGTATGTATGTATGTATGTGCTGCTGACGTCTATTGACTAGACACACATTTAATTTGATTATTTGGTACAACATGTTGGCAATTTGTCGTACACGTTGCTGTCGCTGGCGGCAAGCTAACGGAAAAAATGTTAGCAATAAAGTGTAATTGAAATAAATTGATTGAATATGGACCCTGTAGGCCAAAATAATACGAAATAAAAATTTATAAATGACGAATAAGCGGACTTAAGAAAGGAACTGGAGGCGATTAAGAAGGGATGAGAAAGGAATGGAATTACGAAGAACTTCTTGGTTTTGAGTGAGATAAAATTTTGGATCATATAGAATCTTACAATCTCTCAACGGCGTCAGCAAGACATGTTACCAAGTTCATAGACATCAATCGATACCTTAGGAACTTCGCTTCTTGTAAAAAGATTTCACGTCTCTTCGTTTTTAGTTGATTTATATTATAATATAATAATTCTATTTTACTTGCTCACTCCTGCCACTGATATAACGGAAGATAGCGCTGCTCTCATGTGAATCCTGAAATCTTTGTGTCTAATGATTCTAAAGAACAGTTCATGTTGTTGGTCACAGCCGGCCTGGCATTCTGTGCAAATTACTTGCAATACGTTATGCTGCCACATAAAGTTTCCCACTCCACTTCTACCGCCTTTCACTTCACGCTTGACACTTGATTCACGCCTAATTGACGATGATGTCAAAAGTGATTGCAGCCGCAAGCTAGCCTCCCATTTAATATGCCATTATTGGCAACAAAATTGTAAATCAACGTTGTAGCGGGCGACAAGTGTCAGTGAAATTCCAACAAAATTGGTGGCAACACCAATAATTCAGGCGGACCGCAAATTGTTGCTGCTACTTGTTGTCAAGCATTGTAGCTGTCGTGGCAACTACTCACAGCTACTTTAACGCTGCATTCCTGTAAATTTGCAAATGAGTTGCATTAAAGTGGCTTTTAAGGGCCCCACTTAACCGTAAATGATTTACAACATTAATTCACGCAATTACGGCCGTATGATTCCTGTTATTGTGGCTGCGGCCTTTGTCGCAGACGACCACAGAAAAGATGGCTTAAAGTGCAGCGGTGAGAAAAAGGTCGGCATGCCAGCGCTGGCGCATGCAAATTTGCCTATCAAAGTGAACAAAGTATTTATTCGTTTGACATACTCACCAAACCTACACACTCATATGTACATGCATACTTAAATATCCGCTTGTAGTTAGTTTGTAGGTGTTTGGCATAACAACAGTACCAATGTCTTGCCCCCTCTAGCCGCCAATCCATTTACTTATCGCTTAAGTCCCGTGGTACGCCATTGTCTCGACTGGCTGCTGTGCTGTTCGCTTGTCAACACAGCGCAATTGGTGCATCTGATCGACCACCTAACCGCCTCAGCGTCCGTCTGCTCAGTGGCCTGCACTGTGTACGCATCCCGTTGTGCTGCGCCGCTTTCGTTCGACACAATGACAATCGGCTTTGACAGCTCAATGGAGCTGAAATTATTGTGAAGCCAAAAATTAAGTCAAGTATCATCAACGCGCACGACCAACACGAGCAACAACAACACGCGTATGTTTGCATCCAAATCAGGTGTTTGTGTGAGTTTGTGGGTGCGGTTGTTAACCAGTCAAGCATGTACCGCTGATGTCCACATTTTGATACTAAATATTTCGCACTGTCCGTCCATATGTTCGTATATATAGGTATTTGTTGCTGCTATGGTAATGACTCTTTAGTTTCACGGCTAAGTGTCAGGCCATGGCTTAGCTTGACAAATTTTGTGCGTGGAACAACTTCAATATTCTCCTTTCTCTCGCTCCCTTCTTCATCAAGCTGTTTGCAGCGCTGCTTATGGCATTTTCGGTATTTTCTACGGTTATTACTCTAAATAAAATTGTTTTGACACTTCTGTTTTAGCGCCCACCGTCTGTGTGTATGTGCGTAGTGAAGCATCAAATTTGCTGGAAGGTGTTTAGAAGCATGTGAATTTGACACTTGCAAACCGCCTGTCAACTGTCAGTGGGAGAATGTGTCAGTGATATGTTTAGGATTAAGTGAAAGTGAACGGGCTCATCTGATTAATACCGGTGCGCAGTGATTGGCGTGTTAAGCACGCAGACCGTGCTACAAAAAATATTTAAGGAATTAAGGCATATACGAAAAAGCTTGTTATTCTACGAAATTTTAAGCTCAAGATTACTTTTCATTAGAATTGTGATAATTTGGAATATAATTCCCACGGCAGAGATTTCCATACGCAGCACATAACCGATTCTCAAGAGGCTTCGCTAATAAATTATTGCCAAAGCTGAAGAACTAAATAAAAA